ATTCAAGGGAGTGGGTAGAAGTATAAACTTATCAAAATTCCCACTCCTTAACCACTTACATAATCTTACATTCATAACTTAAATACGTACCAGTGACATATACAAATACATGCTTTTTTTTCTGAACAGTGACTGCAACACGGCTGGCTAAAAATAAAAAATACATACAGTAAAACACAAAACTGATCAGTTTTGTTGTGCGTTTCCTTGACTGATGAAGTCTTCTGGATGGAAGGTGAAACGTTTCAGCACAACAAAAACTGTCCAGATGACCTGACTGAAAAATGTTGGATTGTATACCTGGATTATTGAGCATGGACTTTGGTATTTTGGTAAACATTTCTGTTTTTTTGTTTTTATCTTTACATTTGTCGTTGAAAACGTCAAAAGAAGCAACGAATAAAAAGTCGAAGAAGAAGAAGAGAGTTCTGAAGATGAAACAACACAAGAAGTCCACGTTCAAATTAAAGACCATCCAGAAGCCTTCAAAGAAATCTTTAAGTTCTGCTGGAAAGTCCAAAAAGACCAAAGCTCCTAAAGTGAAGTCAGAACCAGCACCCAAACCCAAAGCTCACGTTCAGCACCAGGCCCAGCTCCGGTATGGACCAAAGATCCAGTCCAGTGGTTCTTCGTCGATCTCTGGTACCGCTCGTCAGAAGTCAAAGTCCAAGCGGACCACCTTACAGTACCAGAACCTGTCTCAGACTCGGACAAAATCAAAGACGAAGCTCAAGCTAAAGTCCAGGCAGACATTAGTCCAGAACCACAACATGTCCCGGTCCAGAACACCACGCCCCAAAGCTCAGTCCGGACCTCGGTCTTCGGTGTGGGACACATCGGTGCAGGCGGCCATCCGGGTCGGAGACTGGAAGCTGCTGACAGGAGATCCAGGACATGGAGACTGGGTCCCGGTGCAGGTACCAGCACGCTCCGGTAAATGTTCTGCTTTAAGTTCGTAACGAGCTGAAGTGACCCCGGGTTCTGTTCTGCAGGTTCTTCCCACCCTCCTGGGCCACTGGTGGAACCTGGAGCGCTCCGTGCCGTCACAGGACGAGTCCTCGGTCCCTCCAAAAACCGTCTGGCTCTTCAACATCACAGCCGACCCGTACGAGAGGCAGGACCTGGCGGACCAGCGGCCAGATGTGGTCCAGCAGCTGCTGGCCCGCCTCGCCTACTACAACCAAACAGCCGTGCCCGTTTACTTCCCGCCCAACGACCCGCGGGCCGATCCGAAACGGCACGCGGGAGCCTGGGTCCCCTGGGCCGACGAAGAGGAGGAGGAGGGAAACCATCCAGGAGCTGATAAGAAGGAGCGGAGCGGGAAGAGGAAGAGGAGGAAGAAGAAGAAGAAGAACTGTCGGCTGTGCAAACTGAAGTCCTTCTTCCTCAAACTGAACACGGGGATGATGTCGAACCGGATCTGAGGAGCCGGAGACGCCGAGGGGACAGTCGCCTTGAAGAGTCAGGATGGACTCGTTCTGAAGGAGTCCTCTCCGACTGCTGGAGACCAACGGAGGCTCAGAGTTCAACTACAGTTGTCCCTCCATTATCACGGGGGTTACGTCTCCCCCCCATGGGTGGAAAACCACCAAGTAGGAACTCCTATTTATTTTAGTACTTCTATATTTTTAGGTTTTATAAACTCTTCCCACACTCTTACAATGTTCTAATCTCTTAAACCGACGTCATTTTAACCTCATACTGCACAGTACTGCCAAGGTTTATACGAGTACTCACCAGCTCTGCAGAACACAGCAGCTCGGTTCCGGTCGGGCCCGGTTCTGGTTCGGCAGATGAAGCCCACCACCCCGTCCAGGTTGACGTGCACGTGGATAAATGAGCTTCAGGATTATTTGCAACTTTCCTGCCAGTTCCGTGAGCTTCATAGATCGATCATTTCCGACTTTGTTGCAAAACTTTCCCTCCAGAAAGCAGCAGCTGGAAGCACTGTTGCCTTCTGGGTAGCGTAGTTCTTTTGACTTGCGTTACAGTGTAGGCTTATTAAAAGAAAACTACAATATAGTTTTTTTCCCATTAACTTTTTATTCCGTACCGTCCCAATCACGTGAGTCATATTAAAGTTGACAATCGTGTGTCGTGAACAATCTTGCGTTGAAAAAACGCACAAGAAGAGTCTGCGACTGTCGAACCACGAAGTAACGAGGGACTACTGTAATACACGTTCTGCTGCCGTCGCACAAAGACTCAACCAGATGTTTAGCTTGAACCGCTTTTGAATTTCGGGGTCCATTTTACGTTTTTGTCTGTAAAACTGTATTCTTGGCGGTGCACATTTCTTTTGTTGCACACGTCATATCCACCTCGGCTCATTTAGCCCCGACCGCGACAGTCACCCCCAAACTCCGGTCCAAACTACCTGAGTAAACATTTGAAAGGAAGAGAAGCAGCTTTGGATCCATGTTTTATTGATCATGTGAGCATTAAAACGAACTCTCCAGCTGCAGGGAATGCGTCGCCTCCTCCAGGAGGAAGACCATCATTAATAATTAATCTGTGAATTGGACAATGTTAATTTTCTGCTCTGAAAGTTCTGATGGTCGAAATAATCTGCATTTCTTTTTTTAAGTTTGAGATGCGTTGAAGGTTCGACAAACGGCTCTTATCGCGTTTGTAACAATCTGTTAGCAGTTAATCCGTTAGCAGTTAATCCGTTAGCAGTAAATCCGTTAGCAGTTAATCCGTTAGCAGTTAATCCGTTAGCAGTAAATCCGTTAGCAGTAAATCCGTTAGCAGTAAATCCGTTAGCAGTTAATCTGTTAGCAGTTAATCTGTTAGCAGTTAATCTGTTAGCACTCAGTTTGTTGTGAGCTACTCTCAGCTACCACCACACCAAAGTTCAGCTCAGCGTCTTTTCAGCGGTTTGCTGTGAGGCTGAGCTGTGGCGGCCATCTTGAATGGTCTCTGATAACGAACAGAGTGCTCCGAGTTCAGCCCACTGGTTCAGGAGATATTTTGCTAACACTATAGACAAACCAGCGTAATGGCCCGGCCTTTAGCAGCTGGTGATAATTTGTATTTGGGGAAAAAACTTCAAACACGTTTTGTGTCGATTCTGGTGGTTTAAATTTAAATCGTCCGACTTGTTTTAGTGCAGAAACATTTTGAAAAGTTCAAAAATTTGACTTTTAAAGAAATTTAAGGACGATTAAAGTTGACGTTTTAACGGCGATGGTGGTTTCCTGCTCGTCAAGTCTAACTGCGCCTCCTGGAAGCGTCGAGTGTTTACAGAACATCAGAAGCTTCTCTGGAGCCAGATGTTTGTGCCCTCCGTCAGAAGACACCAAACCTCCAAATATTTCTCTATTTGCTCAAAAGCTAAAAAAAAAAAAAAAAGGCTGCAGCTGTTGGAGCTCCTGAAGAACTAATGTTTGGATTTTTCCTCCCTGAGCAAATAATCCTGAAGGAATAAGAGTCGCTTCTTTCATGCTCCCCTGCAGAAAAACAGGAATATTTAAGTAATTTATTCATTCTAAATAAACTTTCCTCTTTAAAATAACCAGTTCTCAGATTATTTTTTCACCAGTTCAGTGAGAAATAAATAAATGTGAATAAAGTTTTGTGTTTTTGTTGTTAAAGTTTGACAATTTCTGTTCTGAATCAAAGCGTTTAAAGCCGATATGAACACGTGCGTGCACGATTATGGTTTATAAACGTCAAATATTAAAAGATCCAAAATTGAATTTTAAACGAAATCTGCATAAAATAATTTATCCACTAGGTGGCGCCAGAGATAATACATTAAGCAGGGTATTCCTACTTTGTTTAATCCCAAATTAAAGCCTGGATCATGTAACCCAGAGGGATTAATTGCGCATTTCTGAGCCAAGGGAGCACTAAATCTAAAATGTCCTAAAAAATAAAAATATATATTTTACTTTGTGTTAAAGGTTCCATCTCCGGGGCAGCACGGTGGTGAAGTTGGAGCTGCTGCCGCTCAGCGAGCAGTTTGCCCTGGTTCAAATCCCAGCCCGGGATCTTTCTGGGTGGAGTTTGCATGTTCTCTCCGTGCACGTGTGGGTTCCCTCACACAGAACAACAACATGCACATTAGGCGGACTGGTAAAGGGAACGGCGTCTTGCACCTTCAAATATACAAACAATTTCTCCAGATGGGAATTAAACTAAAATTAGCGGGGAATTTTAGATTTTATAAAAGATTTAAATTTAAAACGCACCTCAACGTAGACCTAACTTACATAGGTGCTTACATGTGAATCTTTACTAGAGTATCACCAAGTACAAAGTATACACAAATTGTTTGTTAGCAAAATAAACCACTCGGTAAACGATCACTGAATCTGCACTGATCAACATTTGTTGTTGATCCGATTCACAATGGTCCCACACCAATTTGACCAAACGGATCCGGTGCACTTTACAAATACCGTGGTAATAATTTGATGGTAGTAGCTGAGAGTCCTTCACAACACCTCCTCCAAGCACCGACAGACTTCACTTCACTTGGATCTAAAAATTCAATCAAAACGACAAAAAAAAAATCATTCGTCCAGAAAATGTTAAAAAGTCAAAGACGGGGTTTGTCGTGTAGACTATACAGTAACTTATTTCTCATCAAGTTTTCTTATTTCCAGTTAATCTGAAGCATCGGCGATGAACCAGTCGACATGAAAACCATCTCGAGCTCACGGCGTTTGTATCGTTTGCTCCTCTTCCTCACGCCAGAACCCCGAGTGACAGAAACAACAACACAGCTCAAAACGTAATGCCCTGGATTTTTATTTCATTTTGTGACAATTCAGAGGATTCTTTTTATTTTTTTCTCGTGTGGTGGCAGGGTCTACAAAAACAAAACAAAGTCATGAATCAAACTGGGCCGTCGGAACGGGCACTGGGTTTGTGGTACGGACAAAGAGAAACTACAAGTAGCCTTGTTCAGTACCAAACTCTTCACAGAAGAGAGCTCATTTTTTTAGGTTTTTTATTTTTCCCAAATGAAGGCACCCGATAACATGTGGTTCATGGCCTTTCAGCCTTCAGGAGTTTTTTGATTTTTTTTTTTTTTAGTAGAGAAAAACTTTTTTTTAATGTCATACACGTTTTCTTTATTATATAGAAGCTGGAATGATATACGGTCAGTTACTGCATTTTTTTTTCACTCCCTTATAGTTTATTTTTTCAGAGGAACAAGTAACAAAAGAATGAAGTCTTTCATGAGCAAGTGGGGGCGATACAAAAATATTTATTTTAAAAAATGACTGGGAGAAAACGGAGGAAAACGAGGGCATCTGGCGTAAAAGCAGAGACGCCGAAAAACTATAAAAGCAGCATCAATCGATAAAATAAAATTAGTGCTTAGACACGAAGCAGCAGTGTCTTCTGGGAAAGCTTCATCCGTTGTTTTGTTACTCGTCTCAAGAATATTACGAATGGAAGAGCTTCGTGGAGATGAACCTGCCGACGAACTCGAGCCCGAAACGATCCACTGCCCTGCGTCTGGATCCGGTTCTACGGAAACGGGTCGACGTCGAAGGGCGTCGACGTCGTCGTTAAAAATAAAGAAGGTAAACGGACGAGCGAACTGCGACGCGGGGGAACCTGTGAGCGGCACGGTGTTTTAAAAATCTAAGAAAATGGACGTGGATGGTGGGAGAAAATCAAAGTTTTTGTAAACACGGCACAATAAATAGATCCAACAGCAGGTTCTGCACCATGCACGTGATGAGACGGTTTCTGTGGAACGACCTCCACTCGCTCCTGCACCAGCTGCGGTTTGTCGTTTTCTCTTTTGAGTATTTTTTCTTTATATTTCAAGTGCAAAACATCACAAATGAACAATTCTGTATTCAAGTAATGTTATATACAAGAAGAGGGCCGAGGGGGATATTACAAATATGCAGTACTGTACATATAATTGCCATATTAAGAATTTACAGACGATCTCTTATTAACAGTAACAAACAAGGAAATTTTTGGGGGGGGGGGGGGGGGGAAGAATTTTTTTGTACGAGACGAGCATTGCAATTAAGTCCCAAAACAGTTGCCATGGAAACCCAACCTTGCCGTGCTCATTCAGCCACCGCTTGCATTCACGACTAACAAATGATGCATAGCACCTAAAAAATAAAAAAAGCAACAACGATGAGTCACGTCGTCTCCGAGCCGAGCAGCGGGGGCTACGTGACCTCCATGGCCACTGTGTTCTCTGACAGACTGTTCAGTGCTGGCTTGTCTTGTTCGTGGTTCTCCCTGTGGAGCAAAAACAGAACCACGGTGAGAATCAGGGTCTTTAAATCTGTTTAGTTGATCTGAAGCGACTGTGGTAAAGACAAAGTAAACATGTCCCTTAGCTTTTACACAACTTTATTTAACTGAGTTTTAACCTTGGAGGCAGATCGTTTAGTTTTCTGGTTCAACTTCATTTTTATTTTTCCTGCTCCGTCAGAACATTTAGTGAAAACACTAAAAGTTAAATCTGGTTCTCCATGTTTCTCTAAGTCCGCAGAGTCCCTCACCTGGGCACCATGTCCAGAGGAGACGCCGAGGCCGTGGCGACCTTGGGCTTCTGACAGTTGGCGGTGGCGGCGTGGGCGAGCTTTAAGGCGGATGTCGACATGGTGGTGCCCAGCGTCCGGGGAGCGTGGATGCGCTTCCCAGGGGGGATTCCCAGACGGAGGCTGTTGTTTCCCAACAGGACCTGAGTGGAGGTGGCGTTAGTGGCGTTGGCGGGGTGGGCGGTGCCGTTGTTGTTACTGGTGGCGGAGCAGAGGGTGGTGGAGCAGGGGTGCAGCAAGGCGGACGTCGGGATCGCGGTTTGAGGAGCCGGGGCGGCGGGGGACGGGGACGCTGTGCTCGAGAGCGGCAAGCTCTTGTAGACACCTGAAGAGTTAAGGGGGGGTGGCGAGGGGAGGGACAGGGGGGGACAGCAGGTGTAAAAGGGGGAGGGGTTTGAGAGGCAGCATTTAAAAAGTAGAACTGTCGGAGCTTTGTTAGTAAAATAACATGTGTTCAGGTAAAATGTTTAAAGCAGCTTTTAAAACATTTCCCAACAACCATAAAATTATTTAGAATAAAATCTGAAACTGTAAAAATATTCAACATGTATCAAACGCAGGACCTTCCATGACGGCTTCTTTCCACCAGGGTCAAAGAAAATATATTTTAGAACAATAATACCACGACATCACCGTACTTTGGTTGTTATAACTCGGGGGCAGACCTGTTGCTTCAGTTTACGAATAAATGAAAGTGTTCAGTGCGTTTGATGCTTTTTAAAGCGTGTTCCAACAGTTTGACGCTCGTAGTTTAAACTCCAGGAGTTTCTGAGTTTTAGGTCTCGGGGCTGATGATGACGATGATGATGATGATGACGGGCTGAGGTTTGGCAGCGCTCCAAGAGCTGAACCTTTCTCAAAAAAACTCATGGCAGGTAAACATTTTAAAGGTCTTTTTATCCCCTGGGCCAATCTTACAAAACTGATGGAGCAAATCAAACATGAGCGTCTGGAGCGTGGTCGCACCTGAGGAGAGGACGCCATTGACTCCGCCTCCCAGGGCCAGCTCGTCCTTGGTTTTCAGAGCCAGCAGTTGTTCGGCGGCGATGAGGGCCGAGGCGGCAAACTGAGCGCTGGTCTGGTCCAACGTTTTCGCCAGGCTCTGTTGGCAGAGGAGCGGGGTGTTTACATAAAAAACAACACGTAATCCCAGCAGCCAATCAGAGAGCGGCAGGAGGCGGAGACTGACCTGCGAGCTGTTGGCAGGTCTCTTGGCTCGTTGCTGCTGGATCTGCTCCAGCTGCTGTTTGTGCATCAAGGCCAGCTGTTCCTGATGCTGCTGGTACTGATCTGCTGTGAAAGCTGACACACACAGTCCCGTCACAAATCTGGCAACAACATCTACCGTAATTGCTGGTGTACAAGCCGCTACTTTTTTCCTCGCACACTTTATATGCAGGAGCGTCTTAATTTATGTTTTATTTTTCATAATTCTCATAAGTTATGTTTTTATATTTTATTTTGACAGACTTCCTGCCGTCTCTCGGTAACTTCCTGCAGCTAACTAACATTTTCCTTTGATAGAGCTGGGCGCTCGTGGCTCCAGCACCCCGCCCTTCTTGGGCGTTTGTGACAGAGTGAATGTATCCACATGTACGACTCTTGCTCAGGGTTTCAAATTCTCTACCGTAACTCCACCCACTCTCATCATGTGACCAGAAATCTAACCAGAATGACCAATGAGGTTCTTTTGAGGATCACCCCCCAAGATAGACATCCATTAATTTCTTCAGATTGTTCCCGTGTCGTTCCCGTATTTTGCGCTTCGTGTACAGACCTGTTCACTCGTTCAGCGATAATGGAAAACGCACGGAGAGTTTCTTACGACGCAGCTTTCATGTTAAAAGCGATCGGCTGTCGAAGGAGGAAACGGAGTTGCCGCTCATACGCTCTGCATCAACACGTCGATGGTCGGGCATTGGAGACACAAAGCAGTCATGTCTGGTACAGGTTTTAATTTAAAAAATTAAAAAATTCTTCCTGTGTACATTAAATATGCGTTTAAATACCAGGATCTCATTTTAAACTCTCATCCGAACACAGAGAATTGAACAACAATGGAGAACAGCGAGGGGTTCTTCCACCATCCCCTTTCTGTCATGAGAGCTCAGCGAGCGCCGGAGAATTTGTCAAATGTATTTTTAAAGCAGTTGGTCAGTCAAGACTGATGCACAAATAAAAGTTTTTAAAAATCTGTGTACGGTAAATGTGTTTAAATACGAATATCTCATTTAAGCTTAAACGGGGGGCATTGAACGGAGCGGAGGAGACGAGGGGCCGTTCCTCCTGCTCACATGAGCAGGGCTGAGGAGAAATCACATCAACTTTATTTAGAAAGTACATTTAAAAACAGCTGTTACCAAAAGTGTTTAACAATAAAAATCAATGGTATTCAATTACTAAATATTTACCGTATTTTACTGGTACCATTTGACTTCTGGTCACATGACCTCGATAAGACTTCTGGGTAATATTTACAGTATATAATGTTGAAATAATTTCGGTTACGTAGGTGCTTGGCACCGTTCTGACAAGTGATTATGCTTAGATAGTTATTGTGTTCATTTTGAAGGTATAATGGTTGTAACCATGAGTCAGACAGCAAAGCTTCATGAAGACTTATGATCATGCAGCCTGGAGGCCGATTCTTTACGACAACAAGCTGCACACGGCTGGAGACGCTGGGCACAGATCCCGACGATGCGTGGTGGATGCCCACGGCTAAATAAACGGAGCGTCTTATTTATGTTCAAAATTATGACTTCGCTTATATTTAATATGTGCGGCTTAGAGACTGATGCGTTCTGTAGTCCGAGAATTATGGTGATTATATAAAACAGATAAATTAGTGCAGTCTATGAAAAGAGAATTTAACTAATAAAACTAAGACGCATCTGAAACGTCCCTTCAGGCAGTTTCAGACACAAATCGGGCTCTGAACCCACAACAGTATTTTAGTGTTCTCCAACTTAAACCATTAGAAGTTTTACTGATTCACTGCACGCAACAAGTCAGAACCAAGAGTAGAGGATTGACTGCAGGGTCCACTGTTGCCACATTCAGCAGCTCAGACTTTTCAGGGGTTTTCCTTTCAAATGGCAACAAGACTCCTTCTGAACAAAGTCACTCTTCAGGCGCATCTCACGGAGCAGTGACTGATGGGAAAAAACTTTCAGCCGTGTTCTCACTGAACGACCCATCAGGCTGTGGGTCCGTGTTCTTGGCAGTTTGTGTGCAGGACTTATTAAACTTAACTCTGGCTTGGAGTTTATAATTTATTCTGCTGCAGAACATTTTTGAAACAAACAAAAAAAAGTAGAGAATGAGACACTCCAGGGACTCCGTCATGAACTACTCAAAGCCCAGCGAGACACCACCTTTACTGCAGGTTGGACCAGAACAGACACGGCCGAGGGTTTAGGGGCGGATGATTAAAGAAGCGGGTGAACAGAGGACAGATGAAAATAAGACGCTAAGTTTCAAACAACCCTAAATGTCACCAGAGTGCTCACGTGTGCCATAAACGGAACGAGACAAACAGAAACTGATAAATGATCCAAGTCTGCAAGTAAAACCGACGTCGTTACTAAACCAAGACGTCGGCATCATTAGCTCGTCCAACATGCCTCATTTTATAACCCATTAATAAAGTTTTGACAAAAAAACACCAAAATTATAATCTACAAATCACTTAAAAACATTTTCACTGTAACATCATTCTTAATTTAAGTCTTCATGATAAAAAAAAGCTTTTCATGAAATAAGTAAATGAAACACTAAACTTTACTTTGATCTAACTTTCTTAAATTCCTAAACTTTTTCACCGTAAAAAGAGCCACATATATAACTAATTTAATCACGTTCAAAATATTTGTTACCTTTTAAATATTTACTTGAAGAAAAATAGAACATTTACTGTATTTTTGGTTAAAATGTTTGTCCACGCTTGGACAAGACTCAACTTTTTTAGACTGAAGCTAAACTCACATATGAACATTTTTTTTGTAATAGAAGAAATTTATGAGAAGTACTAAATAAATAATTACCATATTTTTCACCGTTTAAGTTGCACCTTTTTGCATAAATTTCATATTTCAAATTCATACGGCGGTGTGACGTGTACGGCGGCAAGTACTTCACGTAAAAAAACTAAACTTGAGCATCCTCCTTGTTGTTCACGTCTGATTTTCACCTCGAGAACAAACATTATCTCAAGTCTTTAGACTTTTTACTGCCTAAAAAAATATATTTTCAAATTTTATGTTAAGCAGCTTTTTGCCTCACTGCGTTATTTTATGGTCTTTGTGTACAAATAACTTTATTTCAAAGCTCTAACTTTGTCTCAAAGTTAAATAATAACCTCTGGAAACATTCATAATTCATCCTTATTTATAAAAATCTATTTTTCTCACAGCAGATTAAAAACCGTGACTAGTGTCTCAAAAAAATAAAAAAAATAACTTTAGTTCATTAAATTAGTGTTTTCATCGTTGTGCCGTTTCAAAAATAAGATTAATCATTTCAGAAGAAATCAATAAGCAAACTTTTTCATGCATTAGAAAACGAGGTTTGTGACGAGGCTGAGGCGAACAGAACCACCCGGGACCGGAGGCATTTAGTCCGTATGCAGCGCCGCGCCGACAGACCCAGCTCATTCCATGAATGTATTTATCAAACCCAGCTTTAATTGACGCCTCAGGGACCGGGCTGGGTGGGGGAGGTGAGACTTTGCAACAGAAAATAAAACTTTCACAACGCGAACGAGTTCTGGTGAGGTTAATAAAAACACCCCGTCTAGAAAAGAAAAGTTTTAAACAAACCACATCAGCTTCATTCTGACCAAGTTACCACCATTTGTGTGTTGGCAAAAGTTGCTCAACGTGAATTGGGTTAAAATGATTCGTGTTGTTTAAAGGCAGTTTAATCACTTACCAGCAGAGGGTGTGGGGACAGGCCTCGCCGGGCGCTGCCGCCCCATCGACTGTCCCCCGGCTGAGGCGGAGAGCGGGCGCTTCACGCCACGACTGATCCTCCTGAACAGAGGGTGGGCGTTGTCCAGCTCGTGTAGTGGTAGTGTCCGTGGTCTGAAGTGCCTCCATCGGCACGACTTTATATTCAACAGTATCTGACTGAGGTCCGTGGAGGAGGGAGAGGACGGGGGGTCAGAGGGGGGACTTCTGTTCGAGGTATTTGTTTCTGAGGTACCGGCGAACCTGTCGGAGGCCAGTGAGCGTGAAGTAGCTGAAGGAGGAGGAGAAGCGGACAGCGGAAGGTCGACCGTCTCTGGATCCAGTCCGCCCAACACGTCGTGGTCCGTGTGCGCCCGGTCCAGTAACACCCTGCAAACACAGCACCGTAAGATTCAGTGACACGTTCTCGTCTTAAGTCCTGAGAAACAAATGAGCCGTTGACAGACCTGCCGCCTCGGCCCACGCGTCGCCGAGCCATGCCCAGGCATCGGCGTGGCACAGTGAGCGTGGTGAGACTGTAGCGAAAACGATCTCCTGTCAATCCGCCCTCCCGGGGGCCGCACCACGGCCAACTCCCCAGCAGATCCTGGCGAGCCTGTGGACAGACAGAACACCATCCTCATCCTTGTGAAACAACGACCGCTGAAAAGATCGACAACGATCATTTGAGTCAGTGAAGGCCTCAAACTCGAGCTTAGTCCTGCGTCAGACTTGTTAAAGCTACAACCACAAAGCTTGTCAGCAGTTACAACCTTTCACTGCGATGGGGCATTGCTCTCTCGAACTCGCCCCTATAATCAAATTTTATTACAACGCAACAGGTTTTGTCATAAACCGAGCGAGTCGAGAGTTACTGCTTACAGCGAAGTACTGGCAGCCCGCCTTCCTGCGAAAGGCGTAGGCACCATCTGGGTCGTTTTCCTCCTCTGCTTCCGAAGAGCCCGAGTGCAGCTGCAGACAGGAGAGGTCAAAGGTCAGTAAGTTCAGTCAGAGAGGAAAATGTATAACTGCCGTCTGGTTCTGGAACCCTGAATGGACATATCAGGACACTGAGCTGAGGACATTTATTTCCTCTAAAATCACAACTCTGGTAGAAGTTTGGAGAAAAGTTTAGCGTCTGCAGTGCAGCAAATTTCTGCTTTGTTGCTTTAGATTAAAGCCGACAGGACAATAAATCATCATCTTCTGAGACATGTCAAGCAACAAGTACCCTGGGAAATAATCTGCAGCATCACACTGCCTCAGTCTCATCACACAGTATAATTGTACACAAAGTGATGATACTACAGCTTAAAGATTTACAACTAAATATAACAAATGAGTTGACATGGTAAAAAAAAGCAGCTCTGCGTTGATGAGATGAGGCGCCTTAGGGACGTGAAAATAAAGTGATTTGTATGAATGTGCAGATTGAGGGTGAATAGTTTTGTGTTTGAGCTGCTCGAGCATCTTTAATGTGTCAGCGTGTCCAGATACACATCAGACCAGAGATCCACAACCCTAGATCCAAGTTTCAAAAAACTTTGTCACACAGACTAACAGAAAATCGTCGAGCTGAAATAACTGGTGAAGGGGTGTGTGAAGGGTGATGCAGCTTTGTACTGCACGACTATAAAGTTCTGAGATATATTTGAGGGGTACCGATGAGCCTGTTTGCAGATTCTGGTCAGGTTTTTTATATTATTTTCTGTAAGGAAGTTGTACCATGACAAGATAATGAATGTAAGGTAAGAACTGGCTTGATGAGTGGCCGGTACACTATAATCAGAATGTCCTGTTTGACCTTGAAACCTTTTAGCCTTCTCAGGAGAAACGAGCGCTGTCGTGCTATGCGTGTTGTGAGGACAGGTGGCAGTCGATCTCAGTACCTAAGCGTTTAAAGGCATTGACCTGTTCCACCACCTGCCCCTCCAACTTCATGACCTCGTGAGAGGATGGGGGGTTGCTGATACACGGCGACCCCCGCAGTGCAGATTTAGAAGTATTGAGTTCTAATGAGCTCTCTCGGAACCAGATGGCCACGGTGTTCACAAATTGCCTGTTTGTAGTTGGTGAGTGTTCATCAGTCAAACCGGCCACCAAGGCCACATCATCTGCATGTTTCAAGAGCGTCAGTCCATTATTGTTACAGGTCATTTCGTTAGATGGAAAAGAGAATGGGTGACAAGACACAGCCTTGTGGGACCTCAGTATTCAAACAATGCTGCCAAATTTAAAACCATTGACCTCGACATGCTGGGGTCTATTTGTTGAAAAATCCTTAATCCATAAAACCAAACATGTATTTATTTGCAGTACTTTACAGCAATGAAGGTCATTTATTTTTACTGTATTGAAGGCAGATGAAAAATCCATAAATAAAATCCTCATACGAGTAGCAGGAGTCCAGGTGCTTTGCCACGGTACCCAGGAGGGTTAGATTGGCATCCACGACCCTCATGCTGCAGCCTGTAGGTAAAATGATTGACGCTCCCCACCATGGTAATGAGCTCCTCTACCACCACCTGCTCCATGCAGTTGCAGAGGATGGAGGTGAGTGTCACAGGTCTAAAATCATTCATGGCTTTTGCACAAGTCTTTAAGAACAGAGATAATGGTTGTCTCCTTGGGACAAAGCTGGATGTCAAAAACAGCTGAAAGAGCTGTGCCACCACATGACCTAACAGGGCTGCACTCTCCTTCAGCACTCGCCCCGTGAGCCCATCAGGCTTTCTTTGGATGAATGTTAGGATGGAAACAACCCTACACTCACTGAGTAGGGTTAGGGCTGTTGGAGGTCCAGTCCACTGCAGTTGAAGTGTTGTTGAACCTGGCATAGAAGATATCCTGATGCATGCTCAATAATCCAGGTAGATGAATCTAACCAGGTTAAGTCCTCTGGAAGAATCTATCCAGAGGACCTGACTTGTCCTCTGATAAACACAATTCAGTGAAACGAAACATGCCTGTGTTGCAATGGTCAGAGTCACTTACGATCAGTGTAGAAAGTTTTTACTTTAGTCCGTAGTGAACGAACATTTGACAGAGTTGGTGCCGGTAGAGTTCTTGTACCTGAGAGAAGGGCTCATCGTCTGAGCTGGGGAAGTCGTACTGGTTCAGGTCCTTGGCGTTAAACACAGCAGGGCCTGAATGGTGGGGGACGCCTGACGACAACGGTAGCACCTTCTTCTTCTCATACTTCCTCTTTTGCCGTGGAACCTCCATCTTCTCAGGCTGGAAGGAAACGAGATGCTAAATACCACTGAAGAAGACTTGTTTATACACCGTTACCTTAATGCAGTGATCAGTAATTTGGAGCCTTTAAATGATTCAAATCAAGTTTTACATTTCAAACAAGGCATTTGTGTCAAGCTTAGGTCATAAATAAATTAACCTGCCCTTCAACATATAAATAATCCTGACTTTTTATACTTTGTACTTGAAGGAGAAGCTTTTACAATTTTATAAGTAACGTTTCAAAGCTCTATTCAACTCACCTTGGACTTGTAGTCTTTGGAGTCCATGTGGTCCGGGTGCCGGTACTGATTGGTGAGAGGGACCAGGGGAATGATCTGCGGTCTTACCAGCGCCCGTTCAGCCAGAACCTCTGCCATCACCTCTCCTCCATAGTCTGACATGACATTTCTGGGAAAACAAAAAACATTAGTTTTTAAAAACACCCCCCATGTTGTAAATAAATAAATAAATCGTTTCCACTCAAAAAAAGCACAGGTGAGAGTCTGTCCCCATTTCAGAACGTTTAGCAGTCACAGCGTTCACCGCCCTATACGTCCGACTGCTTCGGGTCCATTCGTGGCCCAACAGAACCGTGTGCACAGCCCTCACCTCTTCTCAAAGATCTCCAGTGTGAGGTGCAGCAGCTCTCTCTTGCTCTTCTCCCTCCTCTTGATCATTTCCAGAATGGTGACGGCTCGGCTCAGATCCCTGCGGAGCTTCAGCATCTTCTCGTAGGACGCCTCATCGTTCTTACGGTTCTGAATGAACAAATGAAGGAAAATTATTTTATCAGTCAAAGGACAAACGTTTTGAGGAGTGCATCGAGTCACAACCGTTTTATTTAGAATAAAAAAATACCCAAACATTAAAATCTGGTTTATGATAACTGAATATACTCAACATTTTTTTGTTTTCTAAACATTTACAGAATTTTGAACAGTGATGTGTGAACTTTCAGCTTTATGAGAGACGAACAAAATATTTTTAACTTTTTACAAGTCAAAAGATGTTCACCATAAAAAAAAATAGTTTATTCACTAATAAATTATTTCTAACGAGCTGAAAACCTTCACTCATCAGTAAATCACCTCCCATGACAGCGACTGGGTCACAACAAGAAACTTTTCACTTATGTAAGTTTTATCTTCCAAGCCTGTTGAAACTTAACCATTTGGTTTTAAACTGTTTCTCTCCCTCTTAAAATTTTGTTCAAGTTTAGCAGTTTATTTTTTCCCTTCAGTTTTTTAATGAGCACATTTCCATTAACGCCTTTTTGTTCCTTCAGTGTTTCTGCTGGCAGCAAATCAAACTTATGAAAACAACGCTAGACCTGTCATTACGCAAATTCATAAGAAAATCCATAAACAAGCAGGAAACATTTGAACATGAAGCAGCTAGTGTTAAAAATACTCGTGATGTACACATGGCGTTTGTTTCTACTTGAATCAAGAACTTGATCGCTTCATTTTAAACTCATTGTTGTGGTTTTAGAGGGGACTGAATATTTCCATTTGAGTCTCTTAGGCTAGTTGTGTTAAAAAAAAAATAAATAAATAAAAAAAAAAAATATATATATATATATATATATTTTTTTTTTTTTAAATATAAATCAGAAAGTCAGTGCGAAGTTCTTCAGATGACCACTTGGTGGCAGATGTATTCTTCAAAAGCACATCAGCAGTTTGTTGTGATTATTGATATTACTATTTAAAATGGTTTTGAGGGTAGTGGTGGGGGGGGGGGGGTTCGACTGTACAGTGCTGGCACAGAAGATCAACCAGTACAGCAACGTGCTCATGTACTGTCACATTCAGGTACAACGTTCACAACACAACAAACTGGATCCTTCTGAACCAGTTCGTCTTCACAAAAGGCAGAGAAATTTAATCACCGAGCGTGGATTCTTAGACAAAGGAACAAGCTCGTTTACAAACACCAAACCTACATGAAACAGATCCTTTGGAAACCACTACACTACAAAGTGCACAGATATCTCAACTTGTGCAAAAACAGACCTAAAAACATGGGAAAATTTGGCAAGAATCCAGCTGAACACAGCAGAAAGAAAGAAAAAGACGGACCTTTCTTGTCTGCATCTTCTCGGTGCGTCGTCGAAAGGCCACGTAGGGGTCACTGGTGCTGGAGCCGTCCCGTTTCTCCTGCTTCACGGTGGGGATGAGGGAGTTAGCTTTGCTGCTTTTCCTCTTGCGGCTCCAGTAGTCAAAGACCTCCTTGATGAGCTCGTCGTCCTCCTTCAGCAGAAGTTTGGCTTCAGGAAGACTCACAAGCTGGACGGTACAACCAAGAGATGTTTTAGTAAAAGTTACGCAACAGTGGGGGCGACAAATAACTCACTGTATTCCTAAAACTTTCACAAACTGTTTCATAGTAATGTGTTTGGGAGCAGATACCTGCTGTCCGCTGCCTTTCTCCAGCCGGTCGATCATTTCTTCAAACTGAAGGTAGCTGATGTCCATCTTCTTTTTCAGCTCGTTGACAAAAGCCTCATCGTCTGAGTCCAGGTCGTAGTCTGGCTGCTCTGTGTCCAAGCTGAAAGCTACAGGAGAACCACAGGTCAGCTGACACTGAAGGCACTGATCGCAGAAATCAAGCTTTAGATTAAAAGAGCTCTAAAGTCACTTTAGACCAAATAAAAAACAGATTTGAAGCAAATATTGTTTTAATTTTGTACTACTTGTTCACAAAAATATATATTTTAAGCGTAATGACTTTCGTGGTCATTTAACTAATAAAAGCAGAAATTATTGGAAAAAATAAAAACAAAAATAGGCCAAACCATCATTTAATATGCAAAACAACATTTAACAATGATTCTATTTGATGAACCTTTTACTCATGAGCTCGCAGGAAAAGATTGCACAACTTGAACTTGAAAAGCCTCATTTTACGCCACTAAAAAAGTTTTCAGCGCTGCAAATCTCAAATATGATGACTGCAACATTCCAAAACAGTTTTCTGTGAAAACTAATAAAACTGCTGAAGTATGACGTTGGTTTACAAGTAAAATACTGCCCCCCCCCATTCTGCAAACAGGTCTTACTCTGATGTTTGTCAGGCACATTACAGAACAGAATAAAAGTGCTTGACAGCTGAGGCGCTGAGGGAATAAAGAAAACTGCCGACTCTAAACAACAGAAACACGATGACTTGAGTCAGAGGATACCCTTTGGAAGGGAGCTCAATGAAAGTATAACTTTAAGGCTCTATGCTCATTTGTGCTTAAACTTCAGACTTGGACTCAATCCAAGTGATTATGTTTGAATCCTACAAGAAATCCCTTGCATTAAACACATTGTACTCACTAAAGTAAACAAAGCGATGCAACAACTCCTAAAGTTCCTCTCAGAATAAAGCTCTGAATATGATCGACACTTGCTGACGAAGACTAGTTTGGATGAATTTCAGACCTAATTGCAAAGTTTGTCATCTCATAACTGGAATGGACTAGGACACTACCTGCATGGGCATTTACCTTTCAGGTAAATGACATTTAAATATTGTCACTGAATCAACTTTTAGTCACAAAAACAAGTTCCCAAAGCTGAGCAGCGTCTGAACTATGAGCTCTCACAGTTTGACCAGACTGTTTCATAGAAAGTATGCCTCACACCATCAGGGCCTGCATCAGTGCTGATGTAATACAAACCAACAGAACTCGTCCAACTGTCAGAGCGCTTCTTTTCAGTCGCCTAGTTTGAGTTAAGAACATTCTGGTAAGATTCAAATCTATACATTTCAGTGCTTCCCCTACCATTATATAAACGGGGCGCCGCACCCGCCCCGTCAACAGAACCGAGCGCCCTGCCACCCCACCCATCAGCTCCGACGTAGCGCTAAGCTAGTGGCGCGTAATACAGTAATGCCTCTTCCCTCATGCGGATACTATAATTTTAAAGCCACAGGACTATAGTTCATAATTTCTCATCAGTCAACTTGACTGACATGGAAACCAGTGTTTTTTGTGTAAACCCGCTCGTTTTGTTTATTACCCCCAAATAAATATTGAAAAAAACACTAACGTTTCTAGAGGTTGTCCCCGTGTAAACGGGGTAGATCACTTTGACTTGGTCAAGTAGCTCACATGCTGAAAAAATGTGGGCACCCCTGACCTAGGGGAAACACTGCCCTTTATAGAAAAACTTAGTCCAGTCTCAGAATTATTAGTTTTAAGCTCAGCAGTGATATCTCAGAGCAAAGATGCTGAGAAAAAACATTTTTTTTAAAAAGCTGCCAACCCCATGTAGATCCAGTACATAAGAATTTAAAATAAACTCAAATTTAATTAAAAATACAATGTTTATCTTTAAATTAGTGTGTTATTGACAAGTGGAACACCAGGGAAACTGAAGTTTGAACAGACTTTCTACGATTCACTGATCGTCACACATCGTGTAAAATATAAAAACTTTAAAAATGTAATACTCTAAACAGAAATTTAGACTATTAAAGTTAATATAATCTAAGCAGATACTTTTTTTAGGTCTGGTCTGCAAGTGTCTGGCCCTCAGGAAAAGCCTGGAATCAGCCAGACAGTTGTTGATGGGACCAAACATTTGTGATTTCAGCTTCAAACTGAGAGCAGTGCTTGTGTTTGAGGTACGGCAAATTGCTTTTCTGTGAGAAACAATTGTGGCAACTACTTGTGACACAGACAGGACCACTGAACTAAGCAATCAAGCAAACTCATTTCTTCTGATAATACAGCACGAGGCAATCTCACAAACTCATTAAGTCTGACAAACGCATGACAACTCTGTGGAAGCTCACTAAACAAACGCCTCATCCCATTAAACAGACCAACAGCTGCTGGAAATGACAAACAATACTTGTAAGCCTGAAGCCACTGATTTCCAGATAGATTTTAGTTTGACCATAACATTAAATGAAGCTGCGTTGGTGACCTTTATGAAATAAACAGAAAAGACTCAAGTAGGATGTTTTAGTTCTACTTTGGTCCAGAGCCCCATCATGGCAGCCTGCTGAAAACAGCTGAGCCGTCTAATCTGCTCTGCTACACGCCATCATCTCTGCTCCCTGACCACAGCTTCACTCACGCTGTATGTGAATCAGCTGCTTTGGCATCTTGAAGTCCCCAGGGTAGATGGAGTCGTAGTAGGTGATGTTGCTCTCCGCCTCTGGGACCGGAATGACCATGTTGTCCCGCTTCTCGCCATAGACCTGCTGTGCCGAGATCGCCCGCTGGAGATGGTGTTCCTGTGGAACAACAAGAACATGGAGGTGAGAAAAATCAAGATGTAGCACCGAGACTTTGTGCATTGTACCGAAAGCTTTGTTTTCAGGCCAAGCGAAGTTACTGGTATTCTGCAGTGTTTATTAAAGACTAAACTGGTAATTCAGTGCTTTAACAATTCAGGATGTGTCAAAGAAAAATGTCTGAAGACTGAATTTCTCTAGTTTTCTTTTCCACATTTGCTTCTTAAAAATATAAAGCAGGTGATCATGTAACTGCCTGTTTATGTCTGAGTGCATATTTGGCAGCGAAATACCCCATCAACTATTTGACACATTTTAACGAAACTCTCCCAATGAAATAAAATTTAAGATGGCTGCCACAGACTAGCATTTTTATCAAACACAAAAACAATCACAACCACAACAGTTTTAAAGAGATTGAGCAATAACCTGATGTGGTAGCAGCTGAGAACCATACCCAAAACACCAACAGATCAGAACAGATGAGAACATTAAAACTTTGACATGCGAAGTTGGAAATAAAGAGCGTTATTTTAAAAAAATGACACCACATGTGTGCATTGGTTGTCCATGTCTATTCTTATAATATAAAATAAAATCAGCTGTTTAGCCTCAACTTTTTAATGTTTCTTACTCAAAAAAAAAAAAAGTGTATTTCTATACATTATAAGATGCGCTTAGGCTCTTTAATGTATTTTTAAACTTTAAAGACTTTATGCTACGTTTAACACCCAAATAACATCTTTACTCTTTCATTCAAATCATTTGGTTGAAAACTGCACAATTTGAGAAATATGACAGTTAAAAATACAAAAAAATTGAAAGTCCAACTAAAGATTTTTCTTCTTCTTTTGGCTGCTCCGTTCTTCAGGGGTCACCACAGCAAACTAAGTCACACAAAGACTTGGAAATTATTTTTACGCCGGATGTCCTTCCTGGCACAACCACAGACAACAAGTCCCAAAGAAAGGCTTGAGCACAACAAACCTTTTTCACCATTTCAAACAGACTATAAAGTAGAGCATGAAGAGTGTGTTCAACTTCGTGCTGCAGCTCCGGCTGTGAAGTTTTCCCACCCTCCTTCCCTGAAACAAACTATGGTACGAAACTCGTACCCATGCTGTGCCTCATGAGAGGAACAGAGGTAGCGACACATTAATAAAGCAGCAGCTTTTATCGCTGAAGACGTGGTCCTTAGAGGCTAACAAGACAGCTAAAGAAAGGACCGTGTCTTTAGCAATGACAAGCTACTTTATTAATGTGGCACTACCATTCACTGTAGGATTTGAAAATCTGTGTACAGTAGGAATGTGCGATACGGCATAAAATTCATATCACGATATGTATCGTGAAAGGTGGCGATAACGATATATATCGCGATATGTTTTTGGTATAAAACTAGCAAAAACAAAAAGCATAGGGTGTCCTTTTGCCATCATATTTTGAATTAAGAAAATTCCACTACTAGGTCCAGAGAGTTTTTAAATAATAAATCAAGTATTAGGCTTCTTGCTTGTAGTGCAAAACAGTGCAGAATATATCAAATGTAGTTTTAGCCTCATGTTTTAAACAAAAAAAATATGTTAACTCTTAAGTTTCCAGTCTTAAGAAATGAACAGCAACAGAGCAGCAACTGAAACACTTCACCCTCCAAACCTCTAGTGGGCGACGCCTTCAGCTTTAATGGAGAGCTGACACAAAATGGGTCTGTGGCTTTGACCAGAGGGTCTCGCAGTAAAATCACACAACACAGCGTTCTTTTCACCGATCAGAGAGCAGGTTTCTCTAAAGCTGACCAACGCTGACTTTAACTTTCGATGGAAAAAAAAAACAACAAAACTTTCGACGGAACACGGCGTTTTGCGCATGCGTCAGAATACGGCAACACTACGGCAAGCCGGCTGTAGTTAGCTTGTAGCTTCGCTACTTAGCTCTCGAAAAAAAGACTAACGCCACTTGCGCACAGTTTTCAGCTCAAAAAAAGTAACGACTAAATCTGACAGCTCTGATTTTACACTTGAACACCACTTCTGCAGTTTTCAACTACAAAAAGTAATGATTAAACTGAAAACTCTGATTTTACATCAGAAACGGCATTACTGCGGTTAGCTGGTAGAAGACAGATCTCTATCGTAGGCTAAATGTCTATAGTTTCTACCGTGTACCGTTTAAATCGCACATTCCTAGTGTACAGTAGTTCTTTTTCTGTCCGTCTGCGCAGCCAACTTCACGTCTCTCCTCCCTTGTTGAATACAAACAAACAGCCCCTCTCTGCTGCTTGACACACGCTTACTAACAAAGAAGGTGTCGCAGCTGGGGAGGATTATCATTTAATATCTGTAAATAGTAGGGCTGGGCCATATATCGTTCACGACAATACCGGTAAAAAAAAGCTTGCCCGGGAAAATAAATTGTATCATGATATGCTAATTTCATGACGTAAATAATCAGTGTTCCCCCTACCATTATACAAGCGGGGCACACCGCCCCATTAACAGGAGAGAGCGTGCCTAACTACCTAACCGAACTGCACCCCCACCCCCACCCCCCCACCGGTACTGGCGTAATGCCAATTAGCTGCACGCAATACTAGCTAGCTCAAAAGAGGAATAGAGGAAGCTGAAACCAGATGAATTAAATTCAAAGTTTATTTATATAGCACATTTTAAAAAAAACAACGACAGCTGACCAAAGTGCTTGACAAGAATTACAACATCATAGATAAAAATATGATGAAAGAAATAAAATTGAGTTTAATAAAAAGTGTAATAAAATTTACAATAAAATACCAAAATAATAGTACTAATAAAAACCAAGACAACTACTGCATACTTGCTGCAATTTTCCAAGCTGAAGACACCTTGTCACAAGTTTTGGAAGTTATAGCTCATTTAAAAAGGCATCAAATATTTTGTAGTAGGTTACATTAGGGGCCAAGATGGTGTAGAGGCAGGGCAGCCAACTCGGGACCCGAAGGTCCTGGGTTTGATCCCCGGTCATTGCACATCTCATGGCGTCTGAGCAGGACACGAATTGCTCCCCGGGTGCCCATTTTGTTTTTGTACGGGAACATTCAATGATGACACATAGCAATTTATTTATACTCAACAGATCTTAAGCTTCATTTTATTTAGAGCTGCTGCCTCTCAGTGAGCAGGTTACTAGTTCAAATCCCGGTCCGGGGGCCTGTCTTAGATCCTCCACATTTGTCCTCTCCTTTTACAACTGAATGTGACCCGTCTACAGAGCACAAACAGAGGGAAATTTTACATCTTTTTCCGTTTCTTCCACCAACATTTGATTGAACCCAATGTACCTTCCACGTGCATGAAAACAGCCTGAAGCTGTGACGTTTACAAAGCGGGGGTGTATCAGAGAAACAGGCTGGAAGGCTGTCCGACTGCTTTACGGAGCATCGTTTGAACAATCCGGTTTAGTTCGAGCCTTTAACTCGTACTGGGACTGAACCGCCAACAACCAGGCTCTTCTAGTATTCAGGGTTCCCAGAAACTAGGTTTGTTTTACCCGAGGCTGTTAAAGAGAAATAAAAGGTGACGGCAAGACGGGTTATTTGTGCTGAGCGAAGGCAAGACCGTAAACGAGTCAAACTGAATGTACATGGTGTCAGTTTAACAGAGACACACTGTCAACCAGTCTGCTTTGTAAACTATGCTTGTTACCCCCCACCCCCACCCCTGCCTCCCCCAAAAAAACAAATAATAAAATCAGTTAGCTAATGCTACAAGAGAAGTGCTGAGCAAACTTCACATCCATTCAAGAAGACAACTTTATTTTACTCTGGTGTGCTTCCATATCAACTGACACTAACAATCAACTTAGAAGCTGCTAAAACTTTTGTACCCGTTTCTCATTCACTCATCACCAAAACAGGCACTCACTGAATTTGTTTTAGTTTTTAATAATTCCAGCATCTGTTCATCAGACTTCAGTCTCTTGTTTAACAAAACCTGGTCTGACTTTCACATACTTGATATTTTTGCAAGTGTTTGATGTAACTGGGACCCTGTGTACATAATTTCGTTCCACTGCATGCACCACGTGATGTGAACGACAAAGAATCTCTGACTCTGATACAGTGACGCTTTAAAGTTTGTGAACTCTTCAGAATTTTCTACATTTCTGCATAAATGACTTAAATCATCATCAAATTTTTACAAAACTCCTGTAAGAAGATAGAGAACCCAGTTAAACAAATGAAACAAAAATACTAAACTTGGTCATTTATTTATTTATAAAGAAAAATGATCAAATATTACATATCTGTTGAGTGGCAAAAGTATGTGAACCTTTGCTTTCAGTATCTGGTGTGACCCCCCTGTGCTGTAATAACTGCAACTAAATGTTTCTGGTAACTTCAAAGTTCATGCTCAATAATCTAGGTAGAAAATCCAAAGTTCAGTCAGGTCATCTGGATAGTTTTTTCTTTTTTTTTGAGACATTTCATCCTTGATCCAAAGGACTTCATCAATCCGAGGAGCCATAAAGAAACCGAGTCCCACAAGCAGCAAACCCACACAGTGGACCAACCAGTTTGCTGGTGATAAGTTGACTTCTGGGACCCACCCCCTCCCCTTTGATTAAGTCATTTGGATGAAGGACGAAACGGCAACAGCAACAACAACAAAAAAAGAAACAGTCCAGATGACCTGCCTGAACTTGGTTGGCAACTGTTGATCAGTCCTGCACACCGGCTTGGTAGAATTTGAGCCCATTCCTTCGTACAGAACAGCTTCAACTCTGGGATGTTGGTGGTTCTCTCACATTAACTGCTGCTTCAGGTACTTCCACATTTGGATTGGATTAAGATCAGGACATTAACTTGGCTATTCCAAAACATCAACTTTATTCTTCTTGAACCATTCTTTGGTGTTGCTGCATGACCCACCTTCTCTTGAGATTCACTTCATGGACAGATGTCCTGACATTTTCCTTTAGAATTCTCTGATACAATTCAAAATTCTTCGTTCCATCCACGATAA